AAGAAATAAATTGCATTACTAATCTCTCACTGTAAATGTGTTGATCTTGTTTTTGAATCACACATATTTGCAGAAGTTCTCCTCCGACTCCTCCATCGTGGGCTGTGTGTCTGAAGGAGCGCTACCTCAGGGCCTTTATCCCCACTGCTGTCAGACTGTACAATAAGTCACTTTAAGTCACTTGCACTAGGACTGAAAAAAAAAAAAAACCTGAAATACTATAGCCACTTTTATTGTACATAATTTACATGTTTGCACACTTTTTTCTTTGCACATTTTTTTTTCTCTTCTTGAGTGATTCTATCCATGCCAGATGCAACGTGTAAATTTCTCCTGTGTGAGATCAATAAAGTCTATCTTATCTTATCTTTCAGTAAAAAAAAAACAAACATGTATAGCTCCCACAGAAACACAAATTTAAGTAGGAGACTTGTTTGGCTTTCTCAGCTCAAAAGTTTCCCAACCTCTGATCTAACATCACAGAATAGATTATTATATTTACATCCATATGACCTTGTTCTTTAAAGCAGTGACTCGAGTAAAAGTATGTTTGTGGAGTTTCCTGGATGAAAAGTTTGCATGGAGCTGAAATGGTCATTAGCTGTTGGCGGCGCCGCATTAAGGCGACTCGACACATGGTCAGAGGAATTAGACATATGCTGCCGGAACATTTGCAGCTGAGGCCAAACGGTCACAGATTTCTACAGCAGAGCGAGCGGATAAATCTGCAACGTGGATTCGGAAAGAAAGTCCGATCGAAGTTTAATACGGCTGCGTTTTTCAAAATACATTAAGATATACAGTATTTGCAAAATTGTGGACACACTTATTTGATGATGATTGGGACGGAGTTGTGTTGTATACGCACCAAAGAGTGTATTAGTTAAAGCAAACTAAAAAGTCTATGTATTTGTTGTTTGGTGCGTATTAAAAGGTTCACACTCTTTTATGATCACAGCGATTTAACAACAATTTTCAACTATCCATTATACATGTTTATCCAAATGATGCATACTAAAACATATGTGTTTTGTGTGTGTGTGTGTGTGTGTGTGTGTGTGTCTGTTTTTGAACTAGGTGAGAAAGTCCTTTGTCAATTTTTTATTCAAAATATGATAATAAGAGAAAACAAGAAGACCTCTGCGTGGAGTGAAAATAGATTGGTTGGTTGAAGCAAAAAATTAATCCAATCCGAAAAATATGGTAGCTTCACAGTCTGTATGGGCATCTTTCTTGGTGTAACTTTGTATGACTGCATTGTCCCTGTCAAATAAATAGATAAACAATATATTGCTACACTGGATTCAATTCATTAAAGTTTATGATTTGTGTTTTGTGCCACATGTTCCTGATATCAGTGTGGTAAGGTTTATTTATATAGCGTATTATACAGACCAAGTTCACGCAAAACACTTACTTTTAACAGATATTTTTGCATCCTCTCCATCCTGATGACAGAAGTGACTCGCCAAACACACATCTAAGCCCCATCCAACACCCTCCATTCACTCACTCCTATTGTAGATGTTTTTAGTCCTCCTAAAGACTTCTCTCCCGCTCACGCTGCTTCTGTGTGAGCGGGAGAGAAGTCTGGAGGTAGTGCGCGGACGTAGTGCTCCTCGTATTATTACGCCTCACAATATAGTACCCCTTTTTATCCACTGAGAAAATCGACATGTTACATTTCTGTGTTAGTATACTTTGTAGAGTAACACGTCACGTAACTGTATTTAAATAGGGAACACGTGGAAGAGTTTGGTAGCTTCTAACGGGAGCTGATTTGGAACTATACAGAATGTGGAAGAGGCTGCGTTTGCGCTCCGTTTGCATGACAGAGCGCACGGAGGTCACTTGGTCTGTAAAAGCGTTGTAGTTGACTTCAAAGTCAAATTAATTTATCAAATAAGGTGAACTTTTCATCAGAAACTTGTGATTTCAAGTGGCACAACAGACACTTCAAGTTCCAACTTGCAATTTTATTGTCAGTGAATGCAACAATCTTAGTACGGTGAACAATGTGAGTTGTCGTTTTTACAGTGTATACACTTTTTTGTTGCTAATAAAATGCGTTATTTGTTTCTTTTTTGTAACAGACATAATATGGAGCCTTGGCAGTCGTAAATAATGCCTTCTAAAAACAAGAAGATTTCAAAGAACAAGTATAGAAAATGATTAAAGATGAAAAATGAATAACAACTAAAAGGTTAAAGTAAAATCAATTATGCAACTCCAGCCCAGCCTTAATACGAGAAACCCTACAGCTTTACATGGATCATAATGTTTATATGGAAGCTGTCACGCAATGCTATGAATAACATTTCACATAATCACCAAAGCTGTCATGGCGGCACTAAAGCCTATCATGACTTAACACCTCTACCGTTTCCATGGACTACATAATGAGATCTTTAGCCTTTTTTTCACTAATTTTTTTTTTTTACCAGTCTGGAATCCACCTGCGCGCGTCTCAATGGGTGCTTCCCTGTGGCGACGGCTGGTGAGGGCGGTTTATCTGGCTATGAATGAAACGCAACGTGAAGCAAATGAGCGTGAATGGGTTCCAAAGAAATATAGACAAAATTGAGGCAGAGGGAAAAGAGGATGATGTGGATTGTGTGATTACTTAAGCAGAGTGCAGGAATAAAGATGACGTCTGGGTTACTTTCATGTTTCATCAAAGCTCTTGTACTAATAATAATGATAGATTTGTAGTGCAACATAGTGAAAACCAGTTAAACTTTAAAATGCTTTGTCCATGGCTTAGTTCAAAGGTCTCATAGGCAATATTGTCTTAAAAAAAACAAGAAAAGAAGATAGTTCCCTCATCATACACAGACCTGGAGTTGTTTAAGCTCCACCCATCCATCCGTAATCAACTACTGACCAAGCCCCGGCGATCCAAAGTGGTGCCTGTGCCGGCACGGTCGCTGACATATTAGCAGAATTCGCTATATCACTCGCCTATATTTGGGCATCGTCTGGTCCTCCCGGTTCTGGATGAACTCCCATGATGCGTTGCGCCAAATATGCGTGTGTGGCTGTCATGCACTTGCACAGAGGGGCTCGGGCCGCGCTCTGACCAATCAGAGCTGTTCATCCGAGTGGGAGCCAGACGTGCAGAGTTTGTGGCAGTAAAGTGTGGATTTAAAGAAAACTGAAGGATTTAAGAAGAAAAAAAGTTCAGGATGACAAAATCCCCACAAAATCCGACCTTTATGAAAGCTGTAGGTTCTCTGTCAGCTGAGGTCGAGCTGTTTTAGTTTACATTGAGTTCTATGGGACTTGTTTCTGGGTAGCCCACGAGAATTTACTCTGGTTTAGCCTCCAGTACCGCGAGAATCCCCCGAGCATGTGGGTCCTTCAGCTCCAAGCTGGTAATACCCTATCCAGTTATTACAATAGATCCATGCTACTGACTTACATGTTTATTTTCCTCAATGTCTTTGAATATATGATATGTTTCGCAATATATATATCGCAGAATCAAAATACTTAAGAATTGCGATAATACTGAATTTTGGCGCAAATATCGCAATGCTATCGAATTATCACATTTTTTGCCACCTTTAGGAGCTATTTAAACATATATTTTAGAGGACAAATTTATGAAGGAAAAAGCAGCACTAAGCAGTCAGGACTTCACTCGCCCCAAACTCAGCTTGTTACGCTGTCATTGTGCAAAAGTATTGTCCCTCGTGTGACCTGTGTGTAGTTTAAAAACCCCTTTCGTCTGACCCATGCGTATGTTACGGCAAAAAAACAAAGGCACGTGGACAGGCAACATCTGCTCGTGGAGAGGCCATGCAGGCAGTGTGGGAAAGAAATCAGCCTCCACCAGACCCACAATGCCCATCGACGCAAAAGTCACCCACCATTCCACCCTTTTGCTTTAACGAGTTGAAGGAAGGTTTTGTAGAGATTTGGAGGATGAATCAATGGAGCGTTTAAAACAGGTCGCTGAGGAGAATGTGGGCTTTGTAGAGGAGTCATAAAGTCGGTTGGCTACGGTCATGAGGATGTCTGAAAAAGCTCTAATAATGGCGTTCAAATTATGGACGAGCATAAAATAAAAGCTAACATTATTCTTGACTAGAATATTGTGTTTGACCTAAACTAGAAATAAAATGTATTTTTTTAAAGCAATGCACAGGATAATCATACTTTTTACTATGTCATTCCGTGTCTTAGAATGTGAAATCATATCTTAAGTAGAACCTATATAGTATAAAGGGTAAACAATGTTATCAGCCTGTAACTACCTTCAATATGACAAAAGGGAGGGAGAAAATGTGTCTTGCTTTTTTCCAAATTTGAAAACTACCAGCTGAAAACACAGGCGCATGACTGCAAATTTCATTACAGATTTCATTAGATAAATTGCCACAAGAAATTTAGGAGCAATGCTTTTGTTTTAAAAGTGGTACAACAGCATCAAACCATTTCAAGGCCGAGATAGGAGCTTTCAGAAAAAAGGGGCAGAGTTACATGTGTGTGCCAGAGTGGCTGATATTAGCGTGGATGGATAATGTATATCTAATGTAATGATAATGTATAGATTATGACACCAATTAGACCATGTTAGAATTATATCTGAAAAATATCCTGAATTTCTCCTACGGGGGATCAATAAAGTATCTATCTATCTATCTAAATCCATTTCCCATTTCTACCAATAGATGGGGTCTGTGTGTCTGTCACTGGTGGCCTCCCCAAGTGTATTTTTTGTGTGTTTTTTGTTATTATCTTTCCCAATGCAGTGATCCAGTACTTCCCTTTGGAGCCATGGTATACCCTACTGCATGTATTTTGTCTGTTTTGATTTTGGGCTTTACAACATTGAAATGAATAGCTTGCTATGTACAAGCCCGGCAGTTTTTCCCCTGTAAGAACCCAGCACCTCGTGGTACACAGTCATATCTGCAGCTTTCTCCCACTCCCGCATGTGTGTGTTGGTACTGTAGAGACGATATGCCCACACCGCAGTGCTAATCTGCCACCCCATGGAGGCGCCGCGCTCTGGAGGTGTAGCTACAGCACTCACACTGGGTTCTCGCGTCACCACCCACGGGTGTCATGTCCCTCAGCAGACCTTCAAAACACACGCATGCAGCACAGACTTTCTTCTCTGGAAAGTGATGCCTCAGGGCTTTTGTAAGGGAAAGAACCAAGACTACTGCGGTTTGGACTTCTACTATCGACTACTACTATCAACTACTGCAACTACTACGAGAAGGACACTCAACATTCAACAACATTTATGGACATGTATCAACATTTACGGACATTGGTCACCTGCCCCTTAAGAACCAATGGCTCTATGTGTATCATTATCATCGTATTTCTTGTGTTTGAAAAGTTTGATTCTCTGATCTGGTGTCGGTGAATTCAATTGTTTTGTAAAGTCCACAGAGAAAACTACGGTTGTGATTTAGGGCTATACAAGAATATTGATTTGAATTGAAATGAATGGATGTTACAACTGGGTGACAATGGCTCAGTTGGTAGAGCATCGGTCTTAGAGCCTGAAGGTTGTGGGTTCGAGCCCACCACAACTACTTCACAACTCCCACTGATGTCTGCTGTCGTTATGTCCATGGGCAAGACACCTAACCCCACTTTGCCTGGAGCCCCTGCTGAAAGATCAAGGCACCTGCAGGAGGACCAGTGAGGGGCTGGTGCTATGTGTACCGGGTGCAGCTCTGACCCGACCCAGAAATGGATTAAGGGGAAGAAAATGGATGGATGTTACAACTTGTTTAACTGACACTTTTTGCTAAACCTTTGAAGTACAAGATAATACATCAAGTCAACAAGGTAATATATTTAGCTTGTCTTTCAAAAGAAATAAAACAAAACAAATAATTGTCCTAATCATGTTTGGAAAATCTTTTGTTGCTGTCTTATTGATCATAAAATCAAACTAAAAGTCACCTTAATGGCATGACTACTTTCACTACACACGTTTTGTTTGGCAGCCTGACAATTATCACAGAGCCAGACTGGTATGAGCCACACCGTGTTCTAATGTAATATTCTGTCTCGCGCACTCGGATCGATCGGCTGTCAGCTCTGGATCATTGTAAATCTCACAGATAAGGCCACTGCGATAAAGAACAGCAACACTATTCTGCTTCTAGACATCACCAGACAATGCACACAGAGAGGTGCGGGTACACTTCCACACATTTGAACCTATCTCTACCAAGTCACATGTGCTTTCCCCCAATCTGTGTATCCCTAATTCCTTTTGCTTTAACAACAATTTAGACAGAATAAGGGATAGATCATACAGTTAGCAATGACTTTATCAGATTAGCCTCACTGACCAGAGAGTGTGACCAGAGAGTGTGACCAGAGAGAGACCAGAGAGTGACCAGAGAGAGAGACCAGAGAGAGTGACCAGAGAGAGACCAGAGAGAGAGACCAGAGAGTGTGACCAGAGAGTGTGACCAGAGAGAGAGACCAGAGAGTGTGACCAGAGAGAGACCAGAGAGTGACCAGAGAGTGTGACCAGAGAGAGAGACCAGAGAGAGAGACCAGAGAGTGTGACCAGAGAGAGACCAGAGAGAGACCAGAGAGTGTGACCAGAGAGAGACCAGAGAGAGAGACCAGAGAGTGACCAGAGAGTGTGACCAGAGAGAGAGACCAGAGAGAGTGACCAGAGAGAGAGACCAGAGAGTGTGACCAGAGAGAGACCAGAGAGTGACCAGAGAGTGTGGCCAGAGAGAGAGACCAGAGAGAGTGACCAGAGAGAGAGACCAGAGAGAGAGACCAGCGAGTGTGACCAGAGAGAGAGACCAGAGAGAGAGACCAGAGAGTGTGACCAGAGAGAGAGACCAGAGAGAGAGACCAGCGAGAGAGACCAGAGAGTGTGACCAGAGAGAGAGACCAGAGAGAGACACCAGAAAGAGGGTCCCCAGATAGAGTGACCAGAGAGAGAGACCAGAGAGAGTGACCAGAGCAAGACCAGAGAGGGAGACCAGAGAGAGACTCGAGCAAGACCAGAGAGAGACCAGAGAGTGAGACCAAAGAGAAACCAGAGAGTGAGAGACCACAGAGAAGGACCAAAGAGAGAGACCAGAGAGAGTCACCAGAGAGAGACCAGACAGTGTGAACAGAAAGAGAGGGACCAGAGGGAGTGACCAGAGAGAGACCAGAGAGAGACCAGATAGTAAGAGAGAACAGAGAGAGATCAGAGAGTGTGACCAGAGAGAGATACCAGAGGCAGACCAGAGAGAGAAACCAGAAAGACACCAGAGAGAGCCAGAATACTTGGTCAAAGGCTATTTAAGCTTTCCTCAAATGATCAGCAAGTGTTTTCTCCCACTTGTAGATAATCAATGCATTTTTTGTTTTTTGAAACGGTAAAAGCAGAGTTGGTCGTAGATTGACTCAAACATGCAAGAATCACAGAAAGTAATTTATAAAGCTCTGAAAAGCAAACGATGCATGGTTGGTGAACATGTGAATATGTGTTTGTCCATTTGCTGTTTTCCTGGCTGCTTGTGACCAGGCCCCAGTGAGTGTGCCGTGGCCAGAGTGGGCAGCTTGCGTGGCAGCAGGACGACTGTCACCGCACTCGCCAACCTCCACCGCCGCCACCATCGAGCACCGAGCTGCCACTCAAACATGCACGTTTCGCTTATGCAACGGCTGTCAGAGCTCACTTTACCATCTTATAATCAGCTAAAAACATTCTAAGTGACTATGAAAAAGGACTGAATCATGCAAACGACCTCAGCAGCATAATGTAGTGTAGTGTCTGGCTTCACCATACATGTCTGATTTACTTACGCCTTCTGAGCCTGTGTCAGATCACTGGACTTTGATCTTCTGCAACTGAAGGTAGGAGAGGCAATTTTCACCTTGTAAACAGATTGCATTATGACATCAAAGGTGGGCCAATGGAGGGCAAACTATAGACTTTTCAAACATCTCTTTGTTATTGGATGGTTCTACTGGTGTACAGCCTTTTGAGCTACAGTTCTTGTATGAAATGTGCTATACAAATAAATACTCACTTATACACACCAATGAGTACAAGTGCAAAGTTATTGAAAAAAGTAGCTTGACCTTCAGCCTAACCTACATTACCCAGCGGAGGGATAAACAATTACCAAGTTTTGCTTGTCTACAATTATGTTTTTGCTTTTTATACCAGATAAGGTTAGAAAGTTTATATTATTGAACAAAACTAAAGATCACTTAAAGCTGGGGTTTCTAATTTTCAACCACAAAAAAAATCAATGTTCTTTGCTTCGATCACTTGAATGTATTTGTGGCCTCAGTCACAGCTATAGGTCAGCATTCAGTAAAAGTAAGTACATTTTTCAGCCGATCTCCTCTCAGCCTGTTGTTTACCAAAGATATTTTTCTATTGTTTTGGATGAGAGTCAAAGCCCTGTCCACACTGGGATAAAATGAATGGTCCGTTTCAGTGCCAGGCCGTGCACTAACTTATCCAAATCTTATAAACTCACTGCAAATGCCAAGTCATATCCCGCACTACTTACACTCGCTTGTATATTTGGAACACCGTATACGGCATACATCTTTGGCCGATCTCCTCGTACACATTCTCCATGGCTTATGTGTTTGTGTGCATGTGAGCAGCGTGTGGTCCCCCTCCTCCAGTTTGCTCCAGCCTGCCCAGCACGGCTCACCATCTGTGGGCAGGCCGGGCGGGTTGGGCCCTGTACGGCGGCGCTGGTGGCATGGAAACGGGTCTTGTAGCGAAGCCGCTCCCACCAAATGGCTTATCGGGCCCCGGGGAGCAGGCTGGTAAAAAGGCACTAAATGGGCTGTGAGCACGGAGGGTGGGGAGTTGTGGAGAGTGGAAGTGGCAAGCAGGAAGGTGAAGAAGATTAAAAGTCATGGATGGATGCAAGGATACAGAATACACAGCTAATGCATACGACGGTCGAACAAAGTGTATAATAATAATAATGGTTTTATATAGCGCTTTTTGGACACATGACATTATTCATTCACTCCATACACGGTGGTGGTAAACTACCAAGGTAGCCACAGATGCCCTGGGGCACACTGTCAGAAGCGAGACAACCAGTATGTGCCAACGGCCCTAACCACCACCAACCATTCACACACACACCTGACTCATTCTAGGCAATGGGGTGAAGTGTCTTGCCAAGGACATAACGACAGCAGACATCAGTGGGAGTCAGTGGAGAAAGTCTTGGGGTAGACTCGAACCCACTACCTTCAGGTTCCATGGCCAATGCTCTACCAACTGAGCTACTGCCACCCCATAACTTTATAGTTTTGAATTATCTGAAACTGCAGTCCAGTGTTCATGGTTTTACACTGATCCAGACCAGAGCAGAGCGGATGCACAGTCCAAACCCAACAGTCCGTATCTATGCATCTATCTATCTACTGTATCTATCTATCAATCTACTGCATGTATGTTTCTATCTAACTACTGTCTCTATCTATCTATCTAACTACTGTCTCTATCTATCTATCTAACTACTGTCTCTATCTATCTATCTAACTACTGTCTCTATCTATCTATCTACTGTATGTATCTATCTACTGTATCTATCTATCTATCTATCTATCAATCTACTGCATGTATGTTTCTATCTAACTACTGTCTCTATCTATCTATCTATCTACTGTATGTATCTATCTACTGTATCTATCTATCTATCTATCTACTGCATGTATGTTTCTATCTACTGTCTCTATATATCTATCTACTGTATGTATCTACAGTATCTACTGCAGGGGTCTCCAACCTGTAGCACGGGAGCCACCAGTAGCTCTCCACCCCCTTCCAGGTAGCACGCCAAAGGATTGAGAAATGAACAAATCAAATAATACACTGCATATTTCAGATTGTAATATTCATTATCATTATTTATCCTTGTAAAAACACTTACTTTGTGCTCTAATAACAAATAAGCGATGATGAATAATGCCTGTACCCAATATCAGGCTTATTCACATTTTCCCAGGGCCACTTAAAGGAGTAGTTCTCTGCCTTTATCGTCCCTGGAAAGTAGCTCTCTGGGTAAAAAAGGTTGGACCGTTCTGCTTCTCAATTGAACAGAATTAAAGCTGGGGTACGTCACTTTCAAATCATGAAACATTGAACTGTGCAATAACAACAGTGGCTCTAAATCTAAACCAAATTAGTGACCCAAACTTGTTTTAAACTCAGGAACTAAGCTCTAAAACAGGTTTGGTTCTATCACTAACTCTAGATCACAAACACAAACAAACAAAACAGAAATACACAAAACACAAAAAGACGTCTCTGCAAAGGGGATTCTTGTACTTACTAATACTAAACCTCAAGTCTCATTTCAGCAAGCAGTATGCAACTAGATGGACTCCATATCCCTAATCTTTGGCAAATGTGTGTGTGTTTACTTTGCATAAGGTCGAATGGAAGCCCACCATTAGTGCGGCTTTGACCGGTGTTTTGGAAATCCCCCGATGTTTACCGCGCTGGCAGCTGAATGCTTAATGACGGATGGAGCAGTGCTCAGGCCTCACCCTGGGGGGCAGCGGCCGATCTTCCACACATCGCAAAGGACAACGTGAGATTTTCCCTTTTCCTCCCCAAGAAGAAGGATGCAAAATGGCAGGAACAGTGTGTGTGTGTGTGTGGGTGTGTGTGTGTGTGTAGATATGATAATGCTAATGTCATTTCAAGAATTACAAATACTAGTCAAATATAAAGTCAGTAGCATTTGTTGCATACTCTATTACAGGCATTTTCCAAAATTCAATTTGATTTATTACTGGTGGTGTTACTAAACCACGTACTCATTGAACCCTTTGTTTGACTTTACCCACAATTAGCAACATTCAAACCTACATTTAAGCTCAGAAATGTCCGATGTCTGAACTAATAGAAGCCTCTTACTAAAAAGTCTGGACACCCCTACTATGTTATACATTAAAAAATAAAACTAGTGAAGCTGTCGCATACAGTATATATACACTCACTGACCACTTTAATAGGTACACTTTGCTAGTACTGGGTTGTACCCCCTTTTGCCTTCAAAACTGTCTCAATCCTTCATCCTAGATTTAACAAGGTTCTGGACACATTCCTCAGATTGGTCCATATTTGATAGCTACATTGCAACAGTTTCTGCAGATTTGTCGGCTGCACATCTATGATACTCCTGTTTCACCACATCCCAAAGTTGCTCTATTGGATTGAGATCTGTGACTGTGGAGGCCATTACAGTGCAGTAACTTATTGTTGTGTTCAAGAAACCAGTCTGTGATGATTGGAGCTTTATGCCAAGGTGTTTTATTCTGCTGGAAGTAGCCATCAGAAGATGGTACACTGTGGTCATAAAGGGATTGACATGGTCAGCAACAATACTCAGGTGGTACCCTGGAGATGGTTGTGTGTGAAAATCTCAGGAGATCAAAAGTTTCTGAATACAACCATGACACGTTTAAAGTCACTTAAATCAACTTTCTTCCCCATTCTGATGCTCGGTTTGAACTGCAGCAGATCGCCTTGACCATGTCTACATGCCCAAATGCAGTGAGTTGCTGCCATGTGATTTGCTTTAAAGTGGAGTGGGATAGGTGTACCTAATAAATTGGCCAGTGAGTGTATATTTTCAGAATTTGGGGTAATGATGACATGATAATGATAACTATTGAAGCAATCTTTTTGACCAAACTAATATTGAACCCAAACAAAGTAATTTCATACATCTGTATGTCGAAGGTTCTGAAGGATAGTTTGGAATTATTCTGTCCATGGAATCAAGCCATTATTGTTGTACAAATGTCAGCGCCATCGTTTATTTCCCCATTCACAAAAGGAAACACTTCCAACCCCCTTTCCATCCATCCCTAACTCGCAGGTCTAAAAATACAATGAGATAGTGGAGTATTTGACCCAATCATCCGTGACTCCATTCTGCAGCACGCCGCCACAGGAAAATTAATTGTGCTAATTGAGGAACAGAGTTCATCAAAGTGGGATTCTCATTTAGCCACTCTTTACGAGCGCGTCCCCAAGGTGGAGCGGACCAAGGCAGGGATTCAGAGGAAAAAATTAAAGATGAAAATAGCTGTAAATAATAGAGGACAGGGATATAGTTCAATATACACTTAATTTTGAGATGTATTATATAAAATATATCGTGAAACCAGGATCTAAAGTTAATCATGATTCAAGACTGCCCTACCCCTATGCTCCCACCAGAGGGAGGTTTAGAAAACTTTTTTTATTTTCAGATTGGATAATAACCTTTTGCACTGCATGTGGCTGCAATGGACAATATTATATATTTGACATGAAAAATTGTAAAAACTAATTTATGGGCACCTTTTTTGTTTTAAAACGATGACACCAGAATATTACAGAACTGCGAGGAGCTTTAAGACAGAGGGAGGGAGTTACATGTTTGTGCCAGAAGTTGCTAATATTTACATGGATGGATCTAAAAAACAACTCTGACTGATGAGGAACAATGTTGTTTCCATCACCAAAAGGCTATGGAATTAAAGGTTCATTAACAAGTTTCCAAGTATTATAAAGATTGCCATTAGATTTTATTACCATTTTGAAATTATTCTTTTGTTATATCAAACAAATCATAATAACCACCTGTAGCACCTGCATGTTCCTAGAACATACCGTGTTGGAACTGTATGTGATGACCAAAATAAAACCATTTAATCAATCAATATAGCAATCTTCACATGTCTTAGTATGTGTGTTCCCAGCACTCGCCACCCGTCATGTCTCCAGCTGACACCCTGTTTACTCGTACATTTCCGTTCAGTCTTGTGACTATATTTGTCTACACTGCTCACCCATCCGTCATCCTCCGTTAGCAGCGTATCCCTTTTTTGTTTCTTGTTCGGAGAGTAGACAGAGCAGTCCATATGCATGTGTACATCCGTTACTGGCATGGAAGCTTGTCGTACACAAGCCCTGTCTGAGGAAAAAGTCCCGTGTTTGTCTAATAGAGGCATGTCCAAACTAAGGCCTGAGGGCCAATCGCGACCCGCTGTGTCAATTTTTGTGGACCTCCGCCTTGCTCACACAAAGTACCATAGAGATTACAGTGTCATCCAGCCAACTTCAGCGCCGCCATTAGAGTAATGGTATACCTTGTTGTAAATCTAAAAACCTATTGATTCCATTATTTGTGTTTACTTAATTATTATTATTATTTTTTTTCCATTGTGTCACAAAATTATATGGCACTGATCTACTTTGAGAAAAACTGATGTACCTTTTGAGGTGTTAAGTTGTCATTCAACCAACTTCACACCTCATTATTCATTCTTCAGACCCAACTTTTCATGTCAAAATGCGGCAAATCCTTTTTTTAAGTCCATGTTCTCGGCCCCTAGAAAAGTCGGGTGAACTAAAATGGTTCTCTAACTAAAAAGCTTGGACACCCCTGGTCTAATGGTGAGCATCCGTGTTAGCATTCTAGTTATATCATGAGAGATTTGAAGGAGATGACAACGGCACATTAAATATGACAACATGAAATTATGAAAGTGCTGGCCTATTTGTTTTATTTTTGCAAACTAAAACGTGTTTAATTTAACCGTTGCTGGATTGACATTACATACTTTAGACCCAAATGCAAACGCAGGTAAGGTGTCTTGCCAATAGACACTGAACCAACCGCCCAAATACCTGCACAGTCGTACGAAAGTAGTTTAAAAGATTCATTATTTTTCCCAAAATGAGAGAATTTCAGTGCTGCATCACCAGTTACAGTAGGAATGAGGAGCACACAGCACAAGATGAAGGAACAATAACTATAATAAATAACATGGA